ATTGCGATCGACTGTTTTACTCCATTTGAACGCAATAACCCGAGGTGTACTGGTCTTGTACAGCATACTAGGGGGAGGCTTAGTATGTCAGTAGACTTCACGTTGGGGACGCTCGACGTTAGATAGTCTGGTCACAGGGGTGGCACCAGTTTGGGGTTGTTGACCGGCGGAGAAGCTAGGGAGACACTCTGGGTCACGTAGGTGGCTGTAGGTTAAGGGTGGGAGTAATGGTTAATTATGTACTTAAGATTAGGAACGGTACAGTTAAGTTTAGGCTAGTGTTTTGTCTATTAGTGTTGATTTTTTTTTTGTGACAAGTTAAAAGTAGTGATGACCTTATTCTCTCTTCTCTAACTTTACTCTGTTACTGTTTTATGTTCCACCAAGTCAGTATCATTCAGAGTTAATTGAATTATTAAAAATTGAAGTGTAGTTGTTGCCAGGAGGAGAGCGTTATGTTATGACTGTGTAACCCTATACAAACTACAGGGTCACACAACAAGATGGAACACGGGTATTGTCGCCTTTATGTTCATCCACAGGTGGGAGCCAGAAGAGAGGAGCGGCGCGACGCACATACAAAAGAGGGAGACGGCTGCTGTGTACGACACTCACGGGCGTTAATCACCACCACCACGACCAGCCCACTACCTGGAGGTCATGGCTCCACCACCATCACCACCCCAGGGGACCCCAAGATGCAGCCCTCTCGTTTAGTCAACATTGGTCTACCCAGTGGACCCCAGGTCGTTCTGCAGACGACCCCAGACGACCCAGTAATGATGGAAGAGGAGCAACAACGACTCCAGTCTGTCCCACCAACATCGGTCTACCCAGGATGGACCCCAGGACGGACGGACCCCAATGGACCCCAGGTCGCTTGTCAAAGACCCATGGGAGGAGGAAGAGAGAAGAAAGAAGAGAGAAGAAAGAAGAGAGAAGAAGGAAGAGAGAAAAAAGAAGAGAGAAGAAAGAAGAAGATAAGACAAGCTGAGACACGATACCTAGTGTCCCTTGCTGGTGTCAGCATCATTGCATGGAGCGTAATTGCAAGACAGGATCGTTTGCCTTAACTGGCCGCCCCTCCTACAAGCAGGTAGCTCTGTTGAGTGATTCTTCCTGTGTCGTGCGGACTTGATGTGGCTGTCAGAAGTAGCTCTCTGAAGGAGGCGTGCTGGAGCAACAGGGAGGAGAAGAGTAGGATGGGATTTCTACTGTTGGCAACTATATGAAGGTCTCGAAACTTGTAGTCCCTATAGCTGTGAAGAACCCCAATATACGTCTCTCATGGTGACTGACGTAGGGCCAATTACAGATCAGCTGGGACAACCGAATTCCACGGTCCTGTGCACAGTTCAAGTAGTAACGGCTTTCGGGTTGACCAAGTGTTGTTGTGCGTTAACGACGGAGAAGCGACGGAGGCAGTTGTGTTGAAGAAATGTGGTACAGGATTATCTACAAGACCAAGCAGTGACGTCGGCCAGCCAGAGACAATGGACGTCTGTCTATATATTTCATTTTTTTTAGAGTAGGATGATGTATATTTGTTTAGCTAGGATGTATATTTTTTTTTCGTTAATAAAGTTGTTGCACACAGCTAGCTTGCTTTAGCAGTGTTGCAAAAACTTTATTTCGGGGAGAAGGGGAGATGTAACACTGTAAAAGTGTTTGGGTTAGGTTATTTAAAATATATATAGAGTACATGAGTCACAGACAAGGATCTGAGAGGCGCCAGTTGTCTGCCTGAGATCTCACACCTCAAAGCGTTAATGACCCCAAGTGACCTGAGGTCAGATCATGCGAATTTCACCTTGCTTCTGATAATCTCTTAGTTGTAGTCTGGTAGCCTTCAAACATGCCGACGTTTAAGGAGTGGCTTGGTAGTGCCGGAGGCTATCTATTTGTGGGCGGAGTTAGCTACTAGGTTCCCCAATATAAACTCGGAGAGCTATCAAGCAGAGAGGATTAACAGACAGAGCAGCAGACGAGAGAGAGACGACGTCCCTACCAGGGAGGCTGTCGGCCGGCAGGGGAGAGACAGTCTCTGTCAAGCTACAGACCCCCCCCCCCTCTCTATTCAACTTAGACTCCGTCCTCGGTGAGTGAACATTAAGGTGACTTGGTCGTGTTTACATATGTTGTGTGATGATCAGGGGCAGTCAAGTTGTAGGGTTCTCGAATTCTTGGATGATGACTCACTTTGCATATTAAACTGGAACATTTTAATTGAATTGCTAAATTAGGATACTTCATGTGAAATATAATTATGAATTTATTATTTAAATTGTGTTTAACTTTGTTCCCTAGAGATTTTGAGTTGAGGTGAGAAAGCCTCTGTAGTTACTGGTTTCATGGTTTAGAATGAGTACATGATAAAGATGGGACCATACTAATAATGATCTCTTGATAACATCTTTTGAGAATTTTGTGATACAGGCAAGTTCCATTCCTTGTCTTGTATGTAATGATCATGAATGGATGGTGGCAGCATTTCGTCTTCTACTATCTACTCTTCTACTTATACTATCTACTCTTCTACTTCTACCTATCTACACCTCTCCCTCCACCCTTCTCTAAACTCTCACTTTCAACTAATGACCCTCCTCGCCCCTCCCACCTCTCTACCTCTCACCCCAAACCCTCACTAATTACTTCACATTTCATTTCTTTCCTTTCGTTTTCTCTTATACGTTTGTGGCAATGATTCTGTATTCTAGAGTTCTCTCTAGAGTTTCGGGTAGCTGATCCAGTTACGACGCCTTGTAGTCTTAGTACCTAGGTAGTCAAATACCTAGGTTACAAGGTGTTGAACGAGAGAGGTTGCCTTAGGAACTCTGGAGGTGCTCTAGAATAGTTAGCTAACTGGGGACGGGATAACGGACTAGAGAGAGCTGTTTCCCCCGGCCTCGTTAGTTAACTGGGGGGTGGAATAATGGACAAGATAGAGCTATTTCCCCCACCCCCCGTTACATTGCAATTTCTGGTGAACCAATCCTGTTTCCTAGTTCTGCATCTCTGCGTTGGTATAATTTTGTTTGTGTCGTTATCATATTCTTCACAAAACGTTACATACATCTAATTTACTTCCTTGCCTAACAGCCGGTCGCTCCACTCAAATTCCTTAAAGAAATTTCTAAGTTCCCCATAATGTCCTCTCCTGAAATCAGGTTTTTGCACTGCTTCAACTTTCTCATTTTCGTCCAGATTATAACGCGTTGCAAACTTTATTCCCAAAAAGACATCGTCACTTTTACCCAAGGAAGGAAGGTACTGAATTTCAAATATCTTTTCCTCTTTCCTGATAAATATCAAATCCATCGTGGAGTGAATATCCATTTCCCTCATCCTCTTAGTCGTAGCTTGTTTAACGTGATGATATAGGAATGTTTCCAGGATGATTTTTACGAATCTTCAGGTCCAAAAGAATCACTAACAAAATACAACATATCACTTTGTAATGTCCTAGCATTCCTTAGTACTTATTCTGTTTAGCAGCATTCAGGGTGATCCTCAAGGGTCGATCTTTCTCTTTTTCGTACCTGCCAATCCTCCTGTAGTCGCAGATATTCTTTGGTTGTAAGACCTTCCATTAGCCCAACAATTTTATCTACTACTTTCGCTTCTTCTACAACTCTTTCTGACCTAGATGTTATCTTTTCTTTGCAACCAAAAATTACTAGGGACTTATTACGAGCGGTTGTGTTTTGCATCAATTTCGGGTTTGATGCCACTTACTTTCTGATTTCCAGCCTAATGTTTGTTTTACCCTGATTGCTGCAGTGTTTGGCTTCCTTTACTGCTTCTTTTTTTCCTTCTCCTTGGCCACTTGTGCATAGGCGAGTTGTATATCCTTCTTGCACTGTTCTATTCCCAGAGTAACTTCCTCCATCTGTGCTGACAAGAGCGGTTTTTCCTGTTGGATTCCCTTACCTAACCTATTGTGGTCATTTATTTTTAAATTTGCTTTAACTTCTTCCAAAGATGTTTTCTAGAGTTTTTCCTCTTCCATGGCTTTGCAATTAACTTTCCACATATATTTGTCTACACGTAAGTCTTTCACTAATCCTTGAAGATCTAAGACCTTGCTACTCAAGTGGTCATTACTGCCTCTTAATTTACTGATTAGTGTGGTATGTAAAATGTGATGTTATGATTGTGGCTCGTTCCTCAATGCCCATTGTGACGGTAACGCGTTGGTGTTCGGCTGTTCAAAGCTAGGGGTATGGCCTCGTCACATAGTATAAAAAAAAATAGAAAATCTGGAACTTCGTCTGTGGTAAGGTAAGGAGAAGACACACAAAACACAAGTAAATTTTAACAATGGAATTTTAATTACGTTAAATAAACAAAACATGAATAAAATGGACAAACAAATTCGTATAATAAAATCAATCAAAATAATAAGAATAATTAAATGACACAATGAAAAGTTACGTTAAGACAAGTGAGCAAAATAACAAGAAGTGCAATAGACAAGTAAATGAGAGGTGCGGGAATATCGGCTTTAAGCTATCACCTCTCTCAGTACACGTACGCCAAAGCTTACGTCTAGCAGGGAGAAGTGTTAACTGTGAGAAAGCACTGAATATTCTGAGGACTGAGGTCGTGGCGGCCCCAGACATCAAGTAGTATGGGGGGGTGAGTGCAGTTGCAGCCAGACCGGCGACCAATCAGCGAGGAGCCGGCAGTAAGACAGGTAGTTTGGCGGTTTGAGTCTGAGCAGGTGTCCCTGGCTGCATACGTTTTGCGCTCTGGCAAACCTTGCTGGTGTTGTTGTCGTTGTTGGACATTTCTTCCATAGTAGTTTTATATAGATGTGACGACGTATTTGTGGAGGGAAGAGCAGGCTCAATCTCTTGAAGGAGATTATCATCACACCATCTTCAACATTATACTTTTTAAATAACATGAAATCTGCAAAATAATTATTATATATATATTATATATATTTTCCTGTGCTGCTGTGATAAAATGTCATCTTAAATTTATATAAATTTCAGGCTTACAGCCAAAGTTATCAACATCCTCCTGGCGGCACAGCATGAAGACTGGGAAAATCTGCTTTACATTGATCCACATATCATTCATAAGTCTGTGGTATTCCTGCTGAAGTATCAGAATCCTGATGGAAGCTTCAGAGAGGAGGGAGAGGTCACCCTGGACAGCAAGGTAAGGTTCCTGCTGAAGTATCAGAAGACTGATGGTAGCTGTAATATTTCTTACTATTCTTCCCCTTCTAATAAGTAATCAGCAGGCAGGTGGTATCCCCAGGTATACTCTATTCTGCTGCTTGCTACTCAGCATGCAGGTGGTATCCCCAGGTATACTCTATTCTGCTGCTTGCTACTCAGCATGCAGGTGGTATCTTCGTGCATGGAGACTTCATCTTCAGAAAGTCATAGCTGCTTTGGGGAAAGTTCATTTCTAGGCAACAAAAATCATTCCAAAACTAAGTTGAGTGATGGTGTTATGATGGAGGCATAACCAGGAACGGTTGAGGGCCACAGGGCTACCAACACTCCAAACCAGACATAGCAGGGAGTAATGTCACTGATACTTATAAAATACTGAACAATTTGGAGGATAGTGATCCAGATAGTCTTCAAAAGATCAGATGCAACACATGCAAGCAACGGTTTTAAACTCGGTTTGGCACTCTCACGAGTCAAGCCTGGCCTCAGGCCGGGCTTGGGGAGTAGAACTACTCCCAGAACCCCATCAACCAGGTATCGGTAAGCCACAATGTACGACAGAAAAGAGATGCTTTTGACCCATAGGGCTATAAACCCATGGAACTGCCTACCCACCGAAACTGCAAGTGCAAAAAACACTTCTGAACTTTAACCTTTATACAGCGGCTATGGAGAAAGTTATACCTGCTTATACACAAAAAATATAAAATTCCAAAAAATGTCATAATAGAATTGTTAAATTTGTATGCAAAATGTAAGAACACACAAATAAGTGAATATTTATCATATCAGTGAGTGGAGGCACTCTGCTAGACGTCGTCTGGCGCTTGTCAGTGCCTGGCGCTTGTCAGTGCCTGGCGCTTGTCAGTGCCTGGCGCTTGTCAGTGCCTGGCGCTTGTCAGTGCCTGGCGCTTGTCAGTGCCTGGCGCTTGTCAGTGCCTGGCGCTCTACTGTGCTGACTCTTCTGTTTTATCCTCAAATGTTGACCTTATTGTTCTATCACTTATTTTTTCTTTATTTACACCTACAGAGCTATTATACCCACATTGGCATCATGTATGTAAAACCTAGACAATAACTGTTTAAATTGTCAACTGATGACTACATTTCCTTAGTAACATTAATGGGTGATAACCGCATTCGTAACATGAAATGGTAGCAGGATTTTTTTCACGGGTCAAGGTACACTATATTACATCGAAATAGATCCATTATATCCATATTTGGATCATATATGTAAAACCAAGACAATAATCGTTTAAATCATCATATGACGATATCCGAATTTCACCGTAAATCAAAGATTGATGCTGACTAAAAAATGGTTAAAATCCATCTTGAAGTCATCAGGACATATTGGAGAATTTTTTGACAAGTTGCCGGCTTCTTGTACTCATTGAAGCCACTAGAGAAAGTGGTCCTCAGGTAAATTCAGGTAAATACTCTTCTCTACTGCTTGATAGTCAAGAGGCAGGTGGTATTCTTCTTAATATTGTAATTTACAAATTTCCATGACTTGTCATTAATTTAACAAATGAGTGTAGTCATGAGTGTTTGAAGTTTGAAATTAAATGCAAATTACTATTTATAGTTACAATTCAAAAGTAGTCATTTCTGTCTATACAGAAACGGGTCGTATTGTAAACGGTTGTATTGTATCAGAAACAATACAACCAGAAACGGTTGTATTGTATTGTATTGTATTGTATACATTTTTGTCATCTTATGTAAAAGACCCAAAACACTTATTTTACATACGTGTAAAAGTGATAACAAATATAACTCGGTATATTTTGAAGATGAAGACTGGCAAGGAGACGTGTGTGGCCCTGACAGCCCTGGTGACAATTACCATGCACAACAGCCTCAGAACTCTTCAAGGGACTACACGTACAAGTGCTGTTGAAGCTCGGGCTCGTGCTGTTGGGTAAGTTGGCACCTCACTCTACCCACTCTCTTTACATGCAAGAAAAAATTTAGTTTGATTTAAAAGATAGATCATTCCCTATACTCCTATCTTTTTAAACTTTATTTTAACTGAATCAAACAATGCTTCTTAATGATTCGGATTTGTGCATGTTTACAGGTTCCTTGAATTTCATCTAGTGTACCTTGAGGACTCCTATCATATTGCCATAAGTGCCTATGCCCTCACATTGGTTGGGAGTCCATTAGCTGAAGCAGCGGCAGCCATGCTCAATAAGAAAAAGTTGTATACAGGTATATATTATTATTATATGTACTGTATATATATATATATATTATTATTATTATTATTATTATTATTATTATTATTATTATTATTATTATTAGTCATATATCACATAATATTATTAAGCATTGCAGTGGCAACATCTGAAATTAGTATGAATATACTGTGCTGGTAGCAAGGTGGCACTTCACTGGACCCGCAGAGTGCTGCACACATTAAACGCTCCGCTTAATGCTTTATATTACTATACATATTGTTTATAGTGTCCATAAGTAAAGTATAAGTTGCATGCAACATTAAAGTGGACAAAGAAAGCTTGAAAATATTGCTGGCAAAATTGTAATTCTTAAAATGCAGCCAACATAAACTGCCACCCTGCAAGCCTGTATCCAACCACTTGGGCTGGACGGTAGAGCGACGGTCTCGCTTCATGCAGATCGGCGTTCAATCCCCGACCGTCCAAGTGGTTGGGCACCATTCCTTCTCCCGTCCCATCCCAAATCCTTATCCTGACCCCTTCCCAGTGCTATATAGTCGTAATGGCTTGATGCTTTTCCTTGATAATTCCTTCCTTCCTGCAAGCCTGTGAGTTAAAATATAGATAATAATTTTACTTCTTTTCTCGGGGGAGCACCTTCGGCTCCCCGGAGCTATCCAGGCTTTTATGCATATATTATTATATTATATTATTAGACTTTGGCATCAGTCAGTGTGAATGGAGTTCTAGGCCTACCAGGGACCACGAGCCAGAACCTGGCCCCTCACAGAGGCATGAGAGCAATGACCTATGGAAATGCACATGTGGTTATGGAGCATTCTATATGTCATCAACCGAGTCAGGCACCCAGAAAGGTAAACATCCCAAAACAAACCATTATTCTGGTTGAAACTACTACTGAAAGTCAAAGGAGTGGACAAAACTCCCCAAATGGGAATGAGCAGACGAGCATGACGTCACCACGTCGCTTGTCTTCAACTCCCCCCTCCCCTGGAGGGGGGAGGGGGGAGCCCCAGACCCTCACGCTGGTGATCAACCCTTCAGTTCTGACGCTGGACATCAAAACACGTGAAAAACCGCCGACAGGCGGGAGGAAGGGTTGCCGGGAGGCTCCGGGTTTCGCCCAGAAAATGGCGTTTCACTTCATTCAACACTGGATTTCTGGGAGGAGCCCCTTCGGCTCCCTTGAGCTACTTCACCAAAGAGACGGAAAAGACGGACTCACCTGGAAGGTGTACGCCACGCACAACTCAAGTCGAAAGCAAGACAACCAACGGCACCGAAGGACCCGGCATACGACCCAGGAAACCGGAACCCAGGCACAGGGAAGAAGGGAAACCGGGGTAACCGGTTTGGATACTATGGAGATAAACGTCCTTGTTGACATGGACCTGAAAGCTGATAGCTACTATAGGTATGTTGAAGTCATATTCTTGCAGGTCCCTGACATTGAGCTCTTGCTACATCTTAAGGATGCATTGGAGTGAAGTTCCATAAAGAATGGGGGATTTTAGAAAACAGTCTACAACAAGGGAAAAAATATAAGAATGTGTCCTAATGCTGGTAATGAATGTCCAGTCAGGGACATGTAAAGTGTTTTGACGTCTATAGGCCAACAATGCTCTTAACACACAACTCCAGGAACAGGAACGTCTTTTCACTGGCTCACAAAATGGAGAAGAGAGATCTGAAAGACATTATAGGTAGAAACGTGACCCCTACCAACACCATCCAGAAGACAGAGTTGATAATTTACTACAAGAGCAAGAAGACCACCAACTTGCTCGTGAAGTATATAAGATTACGCTGATAAAAATCTAGGGGTTCTTCTAGATAGAAAACTATCACCTGAGGACCACCTAAAGAACATTGTGTGAGGAACCAATGCTATGCTTTCCAATTTCAGAATTGCTTGTAATTACATGGATGGTGAAATACTAATGAAATTGTTCATGACCTTTGTGAGACCAAAGTTGGAATGTGGCGTGGTTGAATGGTGCCCATATCTTAAACACATCAAACCGGAAAAGGTGAAAAGGTGCTTTTTGACCTTTCAAAAGGAAGAGGAAAAAAAAGGACATGCAACTAAATGGATCACAGAACTGAAAGGCAAGAGTTACGAAGAGAGGTTAGAGGCATTAAATATGCCAAAACTAGAAGACAGAAGAAAAAGAAGCGATATGATCACTACGTACAAAATAGTAACAAGAATTTACAAATTTGACAAGGGGGGAATTCCCGAGACCTGGAACAACGAGAGGTCAGTGATTTAAGCTAACTGAACAGTGCTGCAGCAGAAACTATAAGAAAATTCACTTATTCAAACAGGGTTGGAACAAATTAAGTAAGAAGGTGATGGAGGCCAAAACCATCAGTAGTTTAAAAGCGTTATAACGGGAAGACGGGACACCACGAGCACAGCTCTCATCCTGTCACTACTGTACTTAATTACTAATTGTATAATTAGTTATCTACATTAGTATTATCAATGCTAGCATAACTAACATATAGACACAGTCACTTTCACTATCACAAGTTAGGTGAGGTGGTGGTGGAGGCCAAGACCGTCAGTAGTTTCAAAGCGTTATATGACAAAGAGTGCTGGGAAGACGGGACACCACGAGCGTAGCTCTCATCCTGTAACTACACTTAGGTAATTACATTTGTGAAATGTGACACTAATGTACTTCTCTGACAAATATTTCCACAATGAAAGGTGACATGACGTACTGGGCTCGCTCTCCCATAACAACTCACCTGAGGCGCCAGGAGAACAACCAGAGAGCCTTCCTCCTGCCCCGAGAGCCAGAGCTGTGGGACTCCCATGCAGTCGAGACAACAAGCTATGCCCTCCTCGTCTTCTTGGTCAGGGAAGGTGTAACAACCATCACATCAGAGAAGATTATGAGGTGGCTCAATGCTGTCAGGGACTGGGACTGTGCTTTCATATCCACAGTGGCAAGTATTTAACTATTTTCTTTCAATATGGGTATATTTGATGTTTGCAGAAGTAGGGAACTTAACAGCTAATTTACTCCCCTCATAAACATAACTATTATTACTTTTTTACTTATGGGTATTGTATATGGCCCCCCATGGGTGATCGCTGGTCCTGGGTGACCCCCGTGGACCCCGTGGGGGCCAGGGTGACCCCCTGGTCCCCACGGGTGATCCTAATTGCTCCTCGTGCCTGTCTAAGGGGGCCAGGTTCGGCCTCGTGGACCCCAGTAGGCAAGAACTCAGACTGATGCCGGGGTGTAATATGCACACATCAGCCCTGTAAGTCCCGGGGAGCCTCTGGGGTTCACCCAGATAATGACCTTTCATTACATTGAACGCTGTTTTATTAAGTATAATGTCATTATTAGTAATGCTGTACTTAATTTGGCTCTGTTTATTACATGTACATAAATTACACCTAATAACATATGCAGTATTTATATACACATTTAGTAATGACCCTGGCTCCAGTAAAGTCATGTACTGTACTAACATTTCTTCAGGATACACTTGTAGCCATGCAAGCTTTAGCAGAGTACGCATTCCGTGCTCGACTACGAGACGTGACAGACATGGAGTGCACTCTAGACGTCACGGTCCAACCTGCTGAGCATTACTACGTGTCTATCAGTAACACCTCTACATCAACCCTTCACAGCTTTGAGGTACAAAAATAAGCTTTTGTAGCAGCTTTGTCAGCTCATAAATATTGTAGATTTAGAATATAATTTTTGATATTTTGATTTAAAGTAATAATATCACACTTGCATTTGTCTGGCTTTTATGTATAAGGAAATATACACAAGTACATTATTTTGGAGGTTTATATTTTGTATAATGTTGTATGTTTATAATGTGTAATTTTGCTCAGTTGGAGAATGTGTGGGGTCATGTGAACGTGGTGGCCCGGGGAGCAGGTCAAGCCGTAGCTCAGCTGGAGATAACTTGGGGTGTGGATGGACTCAACTTCATCGAACAACCGCACAAAAAATATTTTGAGCTTAGTGTCTGGGAAAAATATCATCAATTTAGAAACAAGTCGCTTGTTACCACAACTGTGTGTGCAAGGTAAAGTGTCATTAAGTATATATTACTTTACTTAACTAACATTAATATACGTATGATAATTTAGTACTGAATGAACACTATAATAATAATAATAATAATAATTAGAATAACAATAATATTAATCCAAATTATAATCTTGAGTAATAATACAATTTTCTGTGGGGAGCCCCGGAGGCTGCCTAAAGCTATCCGACCTGATATATAGTGCTATATATTAGGTGGAGTCATCAGTCAGAGTTCTTATGCCTAACGGGGACCACCAGCCAGAACCTGGCTCCCTGAGAGAGGCGCAGGGAACAATGGCTTACCAACACTTTACATTTAAAGTACGTCATACATGCCACTGACCAGGGAAGAACCCAAGAAAGATAGGCAAAACACAAAAGACGAGTCGTGTTAAAAATACGATCTACGTCCTCAAAGTAAAAACAACTCTCCCAGAACTCAAACCAACACTTCGTTCAACTAGCCCCCAACTCGTTAGCATCACCCCCCCCCCCACCCTGGGGGAGAGGGGAAGCCGACTCTAATGAGCCCGGCTACCCACCACCCAGTTCTTGAACTGATGTGCTGGCGGTCGGATGACACCTCTGGCCTCTTCCTGTTTCAGGATTTTAACTTGTGTGGCTGTTCCTGCCACAAAGAACATCTCAATCCGCGTTTTGAACAAATGCTTTACAAACACAGTCTCAGAATGTAACTTGTTCGTAATTAGGGAACTACATGTATATAGTCAAAGATAAAGTGAACAGAGGGCCTCTCTCCTCATTCCACATGTTAGTGCTTCTGTAGGGTGGTAATTTCAACTAAACTGCTACCTACAGTATGCTATTTGTCAATATGCTACCTACAGTATGTTTTTTTGTTAACTAGGACACTGTAGGCATCTTTTTAATTATCAACTATTCTGCAACCTAATGTGCACTGGTTGTCAACAAATTTGCTATCTTAAATGCCTAGATATCAACAAATTGCTCCTAAAGTGCACTAATGTCAACAAATCTGCTGCTTATATTGCACATATTACTAAATTTTTAGTGACAGTTTATAATTTCTTGAAGTGTGTAATGTGCGTACAGGTGGGTGGCAACAGAGGATGGAGCGACAAGCAGTGCAGCCTTGGTGGAGGTGGAAGTGCCCACTGGCTATATGTTTTTCCAGCCACTAGCCGAGGATGTTGTCACAGAGGTCCAGCACAGTGGCAGCTTCCCGCAGCTGCGTAATGTTCATGCCACCGATACACACATTTTCTGGCAATTCGAATTTGTAAGTACAATACAATTTATTAACTTAGGTGATTTTATTTTAAATCATTAATAATTAAAATGTTGAATTAACAATAATTATAATCCACGATGAAATGAGACTAACATGATGTACCAATGAGAAAATCAGTAAGATTGGTAAAGAAAATCAGTACCAATCAAAATCACAATATGTAAAATAGGTAGCATATTGAGAATGAGAAAATCAGAACTTCTCATGGCAGTAGAGCCATGAGAAGGATTTGAACCTACACACTTGTTTATTTGTATAGAATAAGGTAAATTGGGTTTGACAGTACAGAGCAGTTGAAGTTTTACATTCTTGTAAAGCCACTAACACTCGTGGCGTCTCGGGCATCACCTGGTACTTTTATCCCACGGTCTAGACCACAGTTCAAAATTCAAATCAAATGTTTATTCGGGTAAAAGTACATACAACATGAGTTGGAACAAGTTAAGTGAGAAGGTGGTGGAAGCCAAAATCGTCAGTAGTTTCAAAGCGTCATATCTGCTATCTATAGCAAAAAGCTATATAGCTTTATATTTACATATATAGCTATGTAAATGTATAGCTATATTCACAACAGCTCCTGTAACAGTGGTGAACTATGGGAGGCAGCTCCTGGTGTTATCTGCCCAAGTCGAATGTACTTTTTAAACATATAAACATTTTAACATACTTAATCACATTCATGTTATTAACTTTTCACGTTGCAGATTCCATCAGAGAAGAAGCAGTGTTTTAGCTACAACATCCAGCGGTGGTATCCGGCCGCCAACCTCACAACCATACGCTCTGCTACAATATTAGAACTCTTTGCTCCAGGTTAGTATATAGTGTCATGCCATTAAACTATTAGTAATAAGTTTATATGGGTAGGCATGAACACACTCATCATCAAATTTGCACTCACTCGCTCTCTTATTGTCTTTCATCAATCACTCACGCTCACATATTATTTTGTTCACTCTTTCATCTTCTGTGTGTTAGTTCTCTTGAAACAGTCTCCGTGGTGTAGTGGTAAGACACTCGCCTGGCGTTCCGCGAGCGCTATGTCATGGGTTCGTATCCTGGCCGGGGAGGATTTACTGGGCGCAATTCCTTAACTGTAGCCTCTGTTTAACGCAACAGTAAAATGTGTACTTGGATGAAAAAACGATTCTTCGCGGCAGGGGATCGTATTCCAGGGACCTGCCCGAAACGCTACGCGTACTAGTGGCTGTACAAGAATGTAACAACTCTTGTATATATCTAAAAAAAAAAATAAAAAAAAAAAAAAATAATCTTTTTGTGATTACCGTCTTCAAATCAAATCAAATCAAATGTTTATTTAGGTAAGGTACATAAATACAAGAGATTTTACAAAGAGTGATGGATTTATAGATAGAGCTAGTACATACAATGCCTAAAGCCACTATTACGCAAAGCGTCTTGTGTATAGTAGATCAGTCTATTGAATTCCTCGCTGAATTCAGTCGATCATTGCTTGGGGTTCTACTACCCAAAATCATTTACGTCCTCTAATTACTCGACACAAAGCTGTTATTAGAACAATATCTAACTGTGGTCCCAGACATCACTCGGTACCCTTACCCAAATCTTTGAATATAAGAACACTGTTTTTTCCCAAAAAAATGGTGGGTTTTCTGAGGGAAGAGAAAACGTATGTCTGGAAGCTGACTTTAACCGCCCAAGCTGCGCGCGCAGCGGCCCGAGGTTAAAAAGCTAGGTGTGCAGACTGCGTGGTCCCTCTTCCCGTCAAGCAAGCAGCTGCTCACTTACAAAACTTATTGTCTATATTAAATTATGCCACCTATTTATAACAATTTGTCTGTCTTCTTAAAGGGCTTCACGGGCATTTTGATTGTCGGTTCTCAACATATAGGATCGTGAATCTTGTAATGGAATTCTTGTAATGTATTGCACTATCTACCAAATTATTGGTATATCTCAGAAACATATTTGGGGCCAGTACTGGATCTTTATGGAACACCAGTAGTGACAGTCCCATGGGAAACACTGTCAGGGGCCAATACTGTTCCTAAGGGAATTTTATATGTAAAAATAATAATTTTGTTTTTTAACAATTCGTATCATGATTTGTGTATTTAAATGTCTCGCTTTGATTTGTTTGTTAATTCTTTTCATTTTTTCTTTTCCCAACAGAACACTTTGAAATGATAATGATTAATGCAACACCACTGGCACTGCTTGATATATGCGAAGTATGCGGGTCTTACCAGTGCCCGTATTGTCCCATCTACAGTGCTGCTTTCCAAGCCAAGCCAGCTGGCTGCATTCTGGGTCTATGGCTTCTGGTAGTGTCCTGGGTCTATGGCTTCTGGTAGTGTCCTGGGTCTATGGCTTCTGGTAGTGTCCCGGGTCTATGGCTTCTGGTAGTGTCCCGGGTCTCTGGCTTCTGGTAGTGTCCCGGGTCTCTGGCTTCTGGTAGTGTCCCGGGTCTATGGCTTCTGGTAGTGTCCCGGGTCTCTGGCTTCTGGTAGTGTCCCGGGTCTCTGGCTTCTGGTAGTGTCCCGGGTCTATGGCTTCTGGTAGTGTCCCGGGTCTATGGCTTCTGGTAGTGTCCCGGGTCTCTGGCTTCTGGTAGTGTCCCGGGTCTATGGCTTCTGGTAGTGTCCCGGGTCTATGGCTTCTGGTAGTGTCCCGGGTCTATGGCTTCTGGTAGTGTCCCGGGTCTATGGCTTCTGGTAGTGTCCCGGGTCTCTGGCTTCTGGTAGTGTCCCGGGTCTCTGGCTTCTGGTAGTGTCCCGGGTCTATGGCTTCTGGTAGTGTCCCGGGTCTATGGCTTCTGGTAGTGTCCCGGGTCTATGGCTTCTGGTAGTGTCCCGGGTCTATGGCTTCTGGTAGTGTCCCGGGTCTATGGCTTCTGGTAGTGTCCCGGGTCTATGGCTTCTGGTAGTGTCCTGGGTCTATGGCTTCTGGTAGTGTCCCGGGTCTCTGGCTCTGGTAGTGTCCCGGGTCTATGGCTTCTGGTAGTGTCCCGGGTCTATGGCTTCTGGTAGTGTCCTGGGTCTATGGCTTCTGGTAGTGTCCCGGGTCTATGGCTTCTGGTAGTGTCCTGGGTCTATGGCTTCTGGTAGTGTCCTGGGTCTATGGCTTCTGGTAGTGTCCTGGGTCTATGGCTTCTGGTAGTGTCCTGGGTCTATGGCTTCTGGTAGTGTCCTGGGTCTATGGCTTCTGGTAGTATCCTGGGTCTATGGCTTCTGGTAGTGTCCTGGGTCTATGGCTTCTGGTAGTGTCCCGGGTCTATGGCTTCTGGTAGTGTCCTGGGTCTATGGCTTCTGGTAGTATCCTGGGTCTATGGCTTCTGGTAGTGTCCCGGGGCTGGAGCTTCTGGTAGTGTCCCGGGGCTGGAGCTTCTGGTAGTGTCCCGGGGCTGGAGCTTCTGGTAGTGTCCCGGGGCTGGAGCTTCTGGTAGTGTCCTGGGTCTATGGCTTCTGGTAGTGTCCTGGGTCTATGGCTTCTGGTAGTGTCCTGGGTCTATGGCTTCTGGTAGTGTCCTGGGTCTATGGCTTCTGGTAGTGTCCTGGGTCTATGGCTTCTGGTAGTGTCCCGGGTCTATGGCTTCTGGTAGTGTCCTGGGTCTATGGCTTCTGGTAGTATCCTGGGTCTATGGCTTCTGGTAGTGTCCCGGGGCTGGAGCTTCTGGTAGTGTCCCGGGGCTGGAGCTTCTGGTAGTGTCCCGGGGCTGGAGCTTCTGGTAGTGTCCCGGGGCTGGAGCTTCTGGTAGTGTCCCGGGGCTGGAGCTTCTGGTAGTGTCCCGGGGCTGGAGCTTCTGGTAGTGTCCCGGGGCTGGAGCTTCTGGTAGTGTCCCGGGGCTGGAGCTTCTGGTAGTGTCCCGGGGCTGGAGCTTCTGGTAGTGTCCCGGGGCTGGAGCTTCTGGTAGTGTCCCGGGGCTGGAGCTTCTGGTAGTGTCCCGGGGCTGGAGCTTCTGGTAGTGTCCCGGGGCTGGAGCTTCTGGTAGTGTCCCGGGGCTGGAGCTTCTGGTAGTGTCCCGGGGCTGGAGCTTCTGGTAGTGTCCCGGGGCTGGAGCTTCTGGTAGTGTCCCGGGGCTGGAGCTTCTGGTAGTGTCCCGGGGCTGGAGCTTCTGGTAGTGTCCCGGGGCTGGAGCTTCTGGTAGTGTCCCGGGGCTGGAGCTTCTGGTAGTGTCCCGGGGCTGGAGCTTCTGGTAGTGTCCCGGGGCTGGAGCTTCTGGTAGTGTCCCGGGGCTGGAGCTTCTGGTAGTGTCCCGGGGCTGGAGCTTCTGGTAGTGTCCCGGGGCTGGAGCTTCTGGTAGTGTCCCGGGGCTGGAGCTTCTGGTAGTGTCCCGGGGCTGGAGCTTCTGGTAGTGTCCCGGGGCTGGAGCTTCTGGTAGTGTCCCGGGGCTGGAGCTTCTGGTAGTGTCCCGGGGCTGGAGCTTCTGGTAGTGTCCCGGGGCTGGAGCTTCTGGTAGTGTCCCGGGGCTGGAGCTTCTGGTAGTGTCCCGGGGCTGGAGCTTCTGGTAGTGTCCCGGGGCTGGAGCTTCTGGTAGTGTCCCGGGGCTGGAGCTTCTGGTAGTGTCCCGGGGCTGGAGCTTCTGGTAGTGTCCCGGGGCTGGAGCTTCTGGTAGTGTCCCGGGGCTGGAGCTTCTGGTAGTGTCCCGGGGCTGGAGCTTCTGGTAGTGTCCCGGGGCTGGAGCTTCTGGTAGTGTCCCGGGGCTGGAGCTTCTGGTAGTGTCCCGGGGCTGGAGCTTCTGGTAGTGTCCCGGGGCTGGAGCTTCTGGTAGTGTCCCGGGGCTGGAGCTTCTGGTAGTGTCCCGGGGCTGGAGCTTCTGGTAGTGTCCCGGGGCTGGAGCTTCTGGTAGTGTCCCGGGGCTGGAGCTTCTGGTAGTGTCCCGGGGCTGGAGCTTCTGGTAGTGTCCCGGGGCTGGAGCTTCTGGTAGTGTCCCGGGGCTGGAGCTTCTGGTAGTGTCCCGGGGCTGGAGCTTCTGGTAGTGTCCCGGGGCTGGAGCTTCTGGTAGTGTCCCGGGGCTGGAGCTTCTGGTAGTGTCCCGGGGCTGGAGCTTCTGGTAGTGTCCCGGGGCTGGAGCTTCTGGTAGTGTCCCGGGGCTGGAGCTTCTGGTAGTGTCCCGGGGCTGGAGCTTCTGGTAGTGTCCCGGGGCTGGAGCTTCTGGTAGTGTCCCGGGGCTGGAGCTTCTGGTAGTGTCCCGGGGCTGGAGCTTCTGGTAGTGTCCCGGGGCTGGAGCTTCTGGTAGTGTCCCGGGGCTGGAGCTTCTGGTAGTGTCCCGGGGCTGTTGCTTCTGGTAGTGTCCCGGGGCTGTTGCTTCTGGTAGTGTCCCGGGGCTGTTGCTTCTGGTAGTGTCCCGGGGCTGTTGCTTCTGGTAGTGTCCCGGGGCTGTTGCTATTGGTAGTGTCCCGGGTCTGTGGCTTCTGGTAGTGTCCCGGGTCTGTGGCTTCTGGTAGTGTCCCGGGTCTGTGGCTTCTGGTAGTGTCCCGGGGCTGTGGCTTCTGGTAGTGTCCCGGGGCTGTGGCTTCTGGTAGTGTCCCGGGGCTGTGGCTTCTGGTAGTGTCCCGGGGCTGTGGCTTCTGGTAGTGTCCCGGGGCTGTGGCTTCTGGTAGTGTCCCGGGGCTGTGGCTTCTGGTAGTGTCCCGGGGCTGCAGCTTCTGGTAGTGTCCCGGGGCTGCAGCTTCTGGTAGTGTCCTGTTTTGGTTACAGGATACCTGATGTTTTGGTTAACAAAGATTGGAAAAGTAAATAGATCCTGTAAAAGGCCTTTTGCAAATTTCATTTCTTATGTTCAATATGCGATCTTAGCTTGAAAATTAACTTTGAAAAAATGGGAAACAGTATGGCAGTACCTCACTAAGGAAAAACGGGCTTAATGTGGGAAATTGAATGCTGATTGCTTAGGAGACGAAAACATCCCAGACAGGAGCCGGCATTTTAATCCTCTTGCGACAATTATTGAAAATGTGAATAAAGGTCATAACAGAAAACGGACTTTTTCAGGAAAGATGAAGATTGACTGACGTCATTGACCATTAGCCATGTCTGTGCAGGGTCACCGCGGTAACGAAATTTAAGTGCAAGCCGGCCTTCCTCATGGCTCTTGGGTTCTTTAATCCGGTTCATCCAGTGGTTGTCGAGATCCAGCATTGGCTGTTTCTTGTTCACAGTAAATTTAAGTCGGTTGAGTTTTGTTGGGTTCCCAGCCATATTGGTCTCTTTAAATGTGTGCGGATGCTGCCGCCAGGGAAGCTGTCCACTCTTGTCCCATCTCTCGTAATGGTATTCCTTATTCCGACTTTTACCCAGTTATCCATTCCTCCATCCTTACTTGTTGGCAGGCTTCTTGGTCGTCTGTTACTGGTAACAAACTACGTTCTCTTAAAAGTTGTGTGTCCTCATGGCCGTCCTCCTACCACCGTAACTGGTGATGGGAAATGGCTCTGGCGAGGTTGCGTATTGGCCATACTCGCTTAACTCATGGTCACTTGGAGCGCCGCCCTGCTCTCTTTATTGTCCTAATTGCATTGTCCCTCTTACGGTCGTGCATATCCTTGTTGAATGTCCTGACTTCCGGGACGAGCGTGTCTTGTTTTCCAAACGTCCCCCGCGGTCGCTTGTCTCTCGATAGTATTCTTGGTGACTCGGATACTTTTGATATCGTTCGCCTTATGCGTTTCTGTTCCCGTATTGGCATCCTTGGTGATATTTAGCGCCCTCTGGTTATCCCGCACATTTGATGGTACTACATTGCCTTCCCGGTTTGGTGCCTTCTTTTTGATAATTATTTACTTGAATAAGGAACTCGATGTAGTGTAAATTTAACCTAATTCCAATTTAATTAATACTTTAAGAGATAAGCTCATATATAGTACTCTCAACTAGTCTTGTCTTTGATACTGGGTCAGTTCATAACATGATTACAGTATTTGCCAGAAAGTCGGGTAAAAATATTTTGAAACCCACCAATTATATTTAAGAAGAGGTATTATGGAAAAGTTAGAACTTTTTAGCAAGTTTAATTTGAGAAAATAAAGAATACTCTACAATCAAAATATACAGTATACATGTTTGTTAATACAGTATTACAGACTTAGCACAGAAAGAACAATACCTCCCCCTCCAGTGATAAATACTACCTAGGCACCTGCCTCTTGGTCAGAGTTGCAAAATTCCATGTTTGAGCACTACAACAATTAAACTGTCCTTATGCCATCTTGAATTATATTTAAATATACAGTATATTGAAATGTAATTAATTTCCTCACCTTCAATCACTTTGGAAAATTACTTTATTTTGAGTGTTATGATAACATACTATGAAAGTTCTTTCATAAGTTTATAGACATGCCTAGTTTGTCACAATCTGTACCCATAATAGATGAATATCATTTTCTAATTAGTCACATTTAACATTAACTCAACAAATCCTTAAAAAAAAATGGTCATGTAATATCACGAGTTGGAGGAGTCTGAAATCAACATTCACACTCTTGGCCAATAAATTACCAGAATAGTGTTCCAAACACCGCTTGTATTTAATGATTCAGTTTTACTATTTACTCAAGTCTTGTAAAATTTAATACTTATTAAAGTACAGTACTGGACTGGATGTTCTATATATATTTTTTATTTCCCCTAGCTAAGAATAGTTTGCCCTTTACTATGTATATAACAACCCAAATTATCCTCGTATCCTCAGGAAACACAGCTGCCATTTGCCAGAGTGGCTGGTCCCACCCAGCCTGCAGAGAATCTTTGAATTCAGCCAAGACTGCCAAGTCCTTGCCCTTCTGATGATTCTTTGGTACACTGACACCAAACATGTTCCTTACTATTTAATAGTAATTTTAATAGCTAAAAATTTCCTTGTAGGTATCATTTGCTTATTACAGATGAATGAAAACTCATATTTCCACTAAGCTTGTTCTCTTCAATCACTTTTAATTCATCTGCATTACACACACCGTCATCACAATATTAGTCAATTCTTCCAGTTATAAAAAATTCACACATGGCTTTAGACTTAATGTACTTTTCAC